ATACAGTTGACAAAGGGTTGTATTCACATCTGCTTACATCATTGTGTCTTTTAGTTTTTGAATTCAAGAAAGTTCAGTTGCAAAGCTCGGATTGACCATTGACTGTTTTGCCGTTGTGTGCTAGGACCGCAGTCTTTCAGATGAAGCGGCAGAACTGCCTAACATCTCATGCCGAGCGTTACTTTATAGGAGTATAATCAGATGCTACTTTGATTGGCGATAAAATGCAGAAAGAAAAATTTAAGCACGCTTTCAAAGTAAAATAAAGGATAGGTATTGAACATAGTAACCGAATAAAATCAAGAACTTACCTCTGAGGAGAGCTAGTCAGTTGTTGAAGAATGGCCACTGCACTACTGATGCGTGTAATTAGCCATTATTTTGCTTCGTTTCTGTACTGGTGTACTCAGCCAGATAAAAAAGCGAGTGCAGATATGGGCTAGCGAATATTCATCCTCGGTTTCGTGGGTCTTTTTGACGAACTAGTGTCGTTTTGCCGTACCGTACGGTTAACGATGTTTTAAGGACTTTTTTGAAAATCAGTTCGTTCGCAAAGTGAATCTTATGTTTTCAGGTCAAACAGAAGCTCATCAGTTTGTCCAGTCAACGGGTTTCCTGAAACTAAGCTGACAGGAAGAAAAAGTTTGGTTGGAGCTATAGGCCGACCACCAAGCGCCTCAACCAGTGACGTGCAGTGTTAGTTGAAATTGTTGCTGTTGCAACTACTAGATATCTTCAATTGGAATTTTGCTTTAAAAGTTGTGAATACAGAGGAATTTTATACATCTAGAAAATAATTGGCCAATGCACGGACTGCCAGTGCGAAGATGCGTTTTTTGCATGATTCCCCACAGTTTTTGTCGCTATCGGCGCCGCTTTTTCCGGCAAATGCTTCTAGCTAAAAGAATTGAGACTGGCCACCAGGGCTGTCACGAAGCACCTGTTTAAAATTTCAGCTTTCTAGCTTTTCTGGTTCCCGAGTTGGTAACTCACCTGCAAAAAACTTTCATGGGTTCGCACACAGGACCACGCGTATCCGGGACTACGCATGAACTCATTAGGACCTACGCGGATGGGGGACATTCCCTTAAAATTCCAGTCTTCTAGCTTCTCAGATTCCCGAATTAGAAATATACCCGAAAAAAACTGTGGCGGACCCGTACATGGGTACCAAGCCTACCCAGGGACAGGTTTGAAGCTCATTAAGACTTGCTTGGTCAGGGAACATCCCCGTAAAATTTCAGCTTTCTAGCTTTTCCGATTTCCGAGTTAGCGACTTATCCGCAAAAAATTTTCACAGACCCGTGCGTGGATACCACGCGGATAAGACCACCTATTTTGGAATGGGGCCCGTACATGCATGTAGATTAATTCCTGAAGCTTCAACCCTGTAGCTATTATAGGTCTCGAGATGAAAAATCGGTACAGACGCCCAGTGCATACACAGACATATACGCACACACAGAGAAAACCTCTCGTCAGTAGTTTTCTGCATTGCATAGATGCAAAAAACGCATAAAAATGAGCGACTCTTTGTTTTTGCACTCTTCACTGGTTTTTATACGTCTTTTACATCTGTGCAATGCAAAAACGCATGTTGTCTACAGATTGTCTGTGTGGGTGTATGTGTATGTCTATTTGTGCGTCTCTAGCGAGTTTTCATCTCCAGGTCAAAAGCTACAAGGCTAAAACTTTGGCATCTTAATCTACACCTGTGCACAAAATTAGCACTCACTTCCGTATCATTTTCACATACGAGCGCATGATAGGTTTTTTGGCAAGAAGGCAACTTTAAGAACGGCGCAAGCTTCACGAAGATGTTCCTTGCCTATGTCCACCCAAGGATTTTAAATTAAGCCTTCAAGCGTCCTTAGGCATCACGCCAGTTCGAGAATTAAGCTGAGCAAGGAGTTGTTGAGAGTTTTAATTTCGCAGAATTATTTGCCACCCACTGATGTGCCTGTGAAAATGATTAGAGCTTTCCATCCCTCTGCATCTCACTCACGCAAACATAGAATTCGATGTAAATAATTTTGTAACTTCGGAGTTGATGTAACTAGAGGGCCGAAGCTTTTTGAGCGTGATCAACGGCGGCGTTTGGCCGGGTTGATGTGAAAACAAGCTTCGCAACCGAAACAGCTGCAGTGCTGAAATTTTCTGAATATGGCCCAGGATCGTGTTTGGGCAGTCACGCATAAGAACATGCACGTTCTCCCTTCATGTGCAAACACGTGGAATTTGACGTAATCCCGCAATCAGGGCAGCCGCACTACCGAAATTTTTGGAACGTGGCATAGGACCGCCTTTCGGCTGGTGCGCATAAAGGGAAACTTTCATGTTCCTCTTCATATACGAACACGTGGAGTTCAACGTAACCCCACAATTAAGGCAAACAGAGTGTTGAAATTTTCCGAGCTTGTCTCTCGGGCGTGTTTGGGCGGGTGCACATTAAAAAAAAAACCTTCCTTTCTCCCTCACGACGAACACATGAAATTTGGCATAATTTCACAACCGAAGCAGCCAGATTACTGAAACTCACGTCTGTGAGTGAGCAGTTGCACGTGAAAACAGCATTCACGCTTCTTTCACTACGTACACCTGAAATTTGACATAACCCTACGACCAAAGCACTTGGGGTGCCAAATTTTTTGAACATGGTCACGACTGTGTTTATTGGGAATATTTATTGTAACAATTCCTGGTGGTAGTAGTGCCAGTCTTAATTCCTTTAGCTATAACTATCTATAGGAAAAATAGTGCTGTTAGCAACAAAAACTTGTGGATGAACTGTGCAGAAAACATTTCCTCGCACAGACAGTCGGTGCACTGGCGAATTATTTTTT